TCGAAAAATTATCTGTGGTATTTCAACTGAAGGAGTGGCTAAAGAGTTGTCTTGGTCTTCATGTATATATTTATATTTTAATGTAGTGTTCAAGAGTGTTTCAGGCATATCAAAGACACCATCAGTGTAGCTTATACCTATCTAAAATCTCTTATATTTTAAAAAAATTCTCTGCTGAGAATAACAGATTCGTGCCATTTTTGGTTAGTGCAGTAGCTCACACAACAGAAATCTATGCCATTGTCTTATTTACATATATCTAAACAGGACCTGGACACACATTTTAAAAAAGTATAGCTCTGAAGTCCTCTGTAACACTACTGTGTGATATTCTAGCTCTTCTCATAAATTTTAAAGTGGATCTTGTTATTTGATAAGGGAGCCTGTTGAAACTTTTTTCTGTATTTAAACTTTGAGGTATAATGTGCATACAGAAAAGTACAGGTATCAGCTGAATGAATTATCATAAGGTAAACATGCGTATATTACTGTCACCAAGATGTAGAAATGGATCACTACCAGCACCCAAGAAGCCTCCTCATTTAATCACTAACTCCTTCTTCCTTTCTAAAGGTAGCTATTATTTTGACTTTTTTTTTTTTTTTTTTTGTGATTTGGGTGAAGATTTACAGAGAAAATTCTCTTTCCATACAGCAGTTCACATATACTTTGTCTTATGTCATTGACCATAGTTTATCATAATGCAACAGCTTCCCTCCCACTTCCTCCCCATAGTTACCTCTTCCCAGTGTCCATCCCTCCATACTCTCCTGCCCCTTGAGCTGTCTCCCTGTGCATAAGCAGCCCTTCCTTCTCCCATGATTGTTCTCTCCAAGGTGTGTATCTACTTGAGATCAGTGTTTAACTCACGTGCCTGTATTTTGTTTGGCTGGAAACCATAGGTGTGGGTTCAATTCCAGACCTGAAGGGCAGCTAGGGGCCATAGTCTCAGTGGTTCTACCAGGCTCTATCAGACCAGCAAACCTGGTCCCCACTTTTTTTTTTTCTCCAAATGATTTCGAGTTTTGTTGCACATTGTTCTCCCTCTCTATGAAGGATCTCCTACATAGATCCTCTTCCAAGTGAATGAGAGTGGTAGCTGGGCACCATCTAGTTCTTCTGGTTTAATAGTTGTATAGGCTGCAGATTGGATGGTGTACCAGTTGCTAGGACTAATTATTTCCATGATTTTGGTTTTCTTAATTCTTCTTTGCTCTGGATGAGGAGAGACCCATCGTTGCTGGATGGCAGCTTGCTAGCTTTTAAAATCCCAGTCGCTACTCGCCAAAGTAGGAGGTGGAACATTGTTATGTATAGTATGTTATGCCAATTGAGCTTGATGTCCCCTGTGACTATGGTCACAAGCCCGTAGGTTCAACTACTCGGTCCCTCTGGGTAGCTGGCTGTGATCAAGCAGTGACCACAACTTTGCCCCTTGTCAGCTCTAGTATACACCTGGGAATTCTGATCATTCACATAAACTTAGAAGACCATTGTCTGCCAACCCTGTACATGTTCTTGGATA